TAATCCTAATTTTGATTTGCCCGAAATTAAGAACCATCTCGATTATGATTAAAAACAACAAGTAACCAAAATAAAGGAATGGAATGAGCCTAGAATAAAAGAAGCCCAAGGAAGAACTCCACGTAATCCTCGAGGAACCTGCAAAAAGGAGTGTCATGGAAGACTTTTCCAGCGTTAGCACTTCGACCGTTAAATTGGTCGGAATCATACAAAAACAATATGTACGTATCTAAAGTAATGTAACAAGAGTAAGGTGTATTGGGAATACTAGACGTGTCTTCCCTTGCTTCTCAAGACTGTATATAATTATACCCCTCTTATGAACGGGGTGGTAGAATCCCCTTCTGTCTTCATACTCACGCGTGGGTGTGATCTGATTACTTCGAGCAGCTTGCTTGTCTGTTGAAAACGAGTTTTGTCATGTTCTTTGCGAGCTCGATCAGTTCAAACGATGAGGGCTCACGAGTGATATCGCCGCCTTTTAAATGTCAAGTGAACATTTCACCATTCCATGTTACATTGCAGACTTTCCGCCTTTCTTTAGTCACATCCATCGCCTACGACTACCCTAAAATACTAGTCACCGACTTAGTGGATTAGTCGTCAGTAAGTCTGTGCTATGTTCGTAGGATTCTGTTGCTTCGACCTTTGAGACAATTCGACTCGTATTAGAATTCAAACTCTTTATTTGGCATAATTATTAATTAGAAAATTGAACTTGTATGAATCCTCGTTATTGGTTCGATAGCATGCAATACTTGTTAAATTTGAATTTGAATAAGTTCAAATTACAAAAACATATATATTCGACGATACAATATTAAATAAGTAATACATATTCATATAAACAAAAACATATATATTCACATTACTAAGTGAAAATAAAAACTTTAGAATCTGAAAAATACAAATAAAATTTTCAAAAAAATCTAAGTAAATTTTAATTTAAAGATTGGCCGACAGAATACAAGTGGTACCCTATAGATATATATAGGTACGGATTAGAAGTAGATAAACACAGAATATTGAATACATAATTGAATTTTAACCCCACAACATCCTTTTCAAGTAATAAAAACAAGAAACTACTACGCGGTTTTCAAACTCGGCTCCATTAATTTGAAATTCCATCGTTTGTTGACCCCTCTTCATCGTATTTGAATAAAATTACAAAAATAATAAAATAAAATATAATAAAATTGATATTTCGCCGGTACATACCACAAGCTTAGT